CATCCATCACCCATCCACCATCCACCACCCCTATCCCCCCACACCCCCCCGTACCTTGAAGAACCCCCTGGGGCTTCCCCTCTCCTCCTCGGCTCCCCCTTCGGTGGGCGACCCCTCCAGCGAGTCCCCTTCTCCATCCTCCATCTCCTCCTCCTCCTCCTCTTCCTCCTCCTCCTCCTCTTGCGCCCCCCTGCCCATGGTCCCCTCACCGGGCGAGGACACGTCGCTGGTGCCATCCCCGGACACCCGCGTGGCCCCCCCGGGATGCAGCGCTTCTGGGGCCCCTTTTGGGGCTCCTTCCTCCTCTTCCTCCTCCTCTTCCTCTTCCTCCTCCTCCTCCTCCTCCTCGGAGAAGTGAATGGACGAGCGCGTCTGCACCGTGGCGCCGCTGAACTTGCGCCGATGGGGCAGCGTGTCCACGTCCTGCGGCGGCGTCAGCACCCGCCGCAGCTCCGTGGGGCGCGGGCCCCGCGGGCGGCCGTGGGCCGACGGAGACCCCTTGGGTGCCGACACCCCTTGGGGTGCCCCCCGGCTCCCTTTGGCCACCGGGATCACCCAAGCGGTGGCCGCCGGTGGCCGCGGTGCCTCTTGGAGCAAGCGTTGTTGCTGTTGGTTGAGGCGAAGGACGTCGAGCTGGAGGCTGCTGACCGCGGTGCTGAGCTGCGCCACCGCCGCCTCGTAGGCGCTATGGGGGGCACCCATGGGTGCTTTTGGGGGGCTAGGGGGGGGGTCCCGCTCGGCCTGGAGCTGCCGTAGGGCGTCCTTGCCCAAGCGCTGCCGGTGCTTGCTGAAGATGGCTTCGATGCGGCGCTTCTGCGCCTCGATGGCGCGGCGCTTCTCCTCCAGCCGCGCGCCCAACTGGGACATCTCCAAGCTCAAGGGTTCGCTGTGGGGCCCGCTCTGCTCTATGGGGCAGGGCTGCACCGGGGGGGAGGCGGTGGAAGGTGGGGTGGAAGTTGAGCGAGCGACCGGGGTGCCGTCGGTGGGGGCTGCGTGGCCATCGCCATGGCCAACGCCATGACCATGGCCATCGCCAACGCCATGGCCATCGCCACGACCGTGACCATCACCGACGCCGTGACCCCCGTGACCGTCACCGACGCCGTGACCCCCATGACCATCACCGACGCCGTGACCGTGCCCCACACCTCCATGACCAGCCCCATGGCCATGGCCATGGCCAACACCATGGCCATGGCCATGACCGCCACCGCTCGCCTCTTCCAGCTTCTTCTTGCGCTCGGCGAAGCTGGTCATGGTGCGGCCGTTGCTTGGCGCCGAGGTTGTGGGGCTGGACGCGTGGCTCGGGAGGAGGTTGTGGGGCTGCCCCACATCTACAGCGGGGCGAGGGGAGTGCAGGTAGAAGGTGTCGGGGGCGCCCTCGGGCAGCAGCCGCTCGGAGCTGTGGATGATCTGAAGAGCCTCCTCGATGGTGGGGAGCTCGGGGAGCCCGTTGGGGGCGCTGTGGGGCGCTGTGGGGGGGCTGTGGGGCAGGCTATGGGGCAGGCTATGGGGCAGGGCCAGGCTGTCGCTGCTGGCCGAGCGGGTCAGCGCCGTCCCCACCGGGTTGCCCATCACGATGTCAACGTCGCTGTCCAGCCCGAAGGGGATGCTGAAGGACACGGCCTGCGACAGCGGGTGGCTGGGGGGCAGAGGGGGGGTCAGACCCATAGAGCCCCATAGATGACCCATAGCACCCCATAGAACCCCATAGCTGACCCATGGCACCCCACAGAACCCCATAGCTGACACATGGCACCCCACAGAACCCCATAGAACCTCACAGCTGACCCATGGCACCCCATAGAACCCCACAGCACCCCATAGAACCCCACAGCACCCCATAGAACCCCATAGCTGACCCATGGCACCCCATAGAACCCCACAGCACCCCATAGAACCCAACAGCTGACCCATGGCACCCCATAGAACCCCACAGCACCCCATAGAACCCCACAGCTGACCCATGGCGCCCCATAGAACTCCATAGAACCCCACAGCTGACCCATGGCACCCCATAGAACCCCACAGCACCCCATAGAACCCCACAGCTGACCCATGGCACCCCATAGAACCCCACAGCTGACCCATGGCACCCCACAGAACCCCACAGCACCCCATAGAACCCCACAGCTGACCCATGGCACCCCATAGAACCTCACAGCTGACCCATGGCACCCCATAGAACCCCACAGCACCCCATAGAACCCCACAGCTGACCCATGGCACCCCATAGAACCCCACAGCTGACCCACGGCACCCCACAGAACCCCATAGCACTCCATAGAACCCCACAGCTGACCCACGGCACCCCACAGAACCCCACAGCTGACCCATGGCACCCCATAGAACCCCACAGCTGACCCACGGCACCCCACAGAACCTCAAAGCTGGCCCACAGGAGCCGCATAGCTGACCCACAGAACCCCATGGCACCCCATAGAACCTCAAAGCTGGCCCATAGAGCCCCATAGCTGACACACAGCGTTCCATAGAACCCCATAGCTGACCCATGGCACCCCATAGAACCCCACAGCACCTCATAGAACCCAACAGCTGACCCATGGCACCCCATAGAACCCCACAGCACCCCATAGCTGACTCATAGAACCCCATTGATGACCCATGGCACTCCATAGAACCCCATAGCACTCCATAGAACCCCATAGCTGACCCATGGCACCCCATAGAACCTCACAGAGCCTCACAGCTGACCCACAGAACCCCGTAGCTGACCCATGGCACCCCATAGACCCCCACAGCACCCCATAGCTGACCCACAGCACCCCATAGCTGACCCATAGAACCCCATAGCTGACGCAGGACACCCCACAGAACCTCACAGCACCCCATAGCAGCCCATAGCTGACCTACAGAACCCCAAAGCTGACCCATAGGAGCCCATAGAACCCCACAGAACCCCATAGCACCCCACAGCTGCCCCTCACCTCAATGGTTTCTTGCTCCAGGCTTTGCTGAAGCTGCCATCGCCGTGGGGCAGAGACGGGGAGTGGGGCAGAGGGGCTGTGGGGGGGGGGGGGGCGAACAAGGTCACCCCATGCCCCCCCCATCACCTCCCAGTTCCCCCCGATGCACCCCATAGCCCTCCAGTGCACTCCATTGCCCCCCATTGCACCCCCAATACACCCCATAGCCCTCCCATGCGCCCCACAGTGACCCATAGCCCACCTATAGACCCCCATAGCCCCCCCCAAGGCACCCAATATACACCCCATATCACCCCCACTGCACCCCCATGACCCCATCATAGCACCCCATAGGCCCCCCCATGCACCCCATAGACCCCCAATACCCCCAATGCACCCCCAGCCCCCCCCAACCGTTTTGGGGTCCCCCATTGGGGGGGGGGTCTCACCTGGGGTCCCCCGAAGGGGGTTGGGGGGGTGACCCCCAGAGAGCAGTGGGTGCCGGAAGGTGAAGCCGGGGGAGCTGGGGAGACAATGGGGTTAATGGGGGGCAATGGGGGGCAATGGGAGGCAATGGGAGGCAATGGGGATCAATGGGAGGCAATGGGGGGCAATGGGAATGATGGGGACAATGGGGGCAATAGAGGCAATGGGGGGCAATGGGGATCAATGGAAGCCAATGGGGATCAATGGGGATCAATGGAAGGCAATGGGGGGCAAGGGGATCAATGGGAGCCAATGGGAGTCAATGGGGGGCAATGGGGATCAATGGGGATCAATGGGGCTCAACGGGATCAATGGAAGCCAATGGGGATCAATGGGAGCCAATGGAAGTCAATGGGGGGCAATGGGGATCAATAGGGATCAATGGGGCTCAATGGGGCTCAATGGGGCTCAACGGGAGTCAATGGGGATCAATGGGGATTAATGGAAGGCAATGGGGGGCAATGCAATCAGTGGGGTTAATGGGGATCACTGCAGTCAATGGGGGTCAATGGGGATCAATGGAGTCAATGGGGATCAATGGGGATCAATGGGGCCAATGTGGGGCAATGTGGGGCAACGGGAGTCAATGGGGATAAATGGGGATCAATGGGGATCAATGGGGCTCAACGGGAGTCAATGGGGATCAATGGGGATCAATGGAAGCCAATGGGAGTCAATGGGGATCAATGGGGCTCAATGGGGATCAATGAGGATCAATGGGGATCAATGGGGCTCAACGGGAGTCAATGGGGGGCCATGGGGATCAATGGGGATCAATGGGGCTCAATGGAAGCCAATGGGGGGCAATGGGGATCAATGGGGATCAATGGGGCTCAACGGGAGTCAATGGGGATCAATGGGGATCAATGAAGGCCAATGTGGGGCAATGTGGGGCAACGGGAGCCAATGGGAGTCAATGGGGGGCAATGGGGATCAATGGGGATCAATGGGGCAATGGGGATCAATGGGGATCAATGGGGGGCAATGGGGATCAATGGGGGGCAATGGGGCTCAATGGGGATCAATGGGGCTCAACGGGAGTCAATGGGGGGCCATGGGGATCAATGGAAGGCAATGGGGATCAATGGGGCTCAACGGGAGTCAATGGGGATCAATGGGGTTCAATGGGGGGCAATGGGGAGCAATGGGGGGCAAAGGGGAGACAGGCCCCCCCCAGCCCCACTCCCCCCCCCCCCATACCTGCTCTTGGGGGTCGCAGCCTCCCCGGCAGCCGGCGCCTCTGTGGAAATGGGGGGCATTGGAGGTGCCCCCCCCAATATCGGGGTCCAGGGACCCCCAAGTGCCCCCCTCAACTGAACCCACACCCCCCCTTACACATGGGGGACCCCCATGCTCACCATAAATGGGGCACCCCCCATAACTGCAGACCCGCCCCACACTTGGGGGTCCCATCAGAGCCCCCCACCCCACACATTGGGGTCCCCCCCATTACCTGAGCCCCCCCCCAGATCTCGGGGGCACACGAACGGGGGCCGCAGGACCTCGAAGCACAGGAAGAGCTCGGCCAGGAAGGCCCCAATGTTGAGCTGGGGGGAAGGGGTCAGGGGGGCAGTGACCCACGGCACAGAGCACACACCCCATAGCACACACCCCATAGCCCCACACCCCATAGCACACACCCCATAGCCACACACCCCATAGCACACACCCCATAGCCCCACACCCCATAGCACACACCCCATAGCACACACCCCATAGCCACACACCCCATAGCACACACCCCATAGCACACACCCCATAGCACACACCCCATAGCCCCACACCCCATAGCACACACCCCATAGCACATAGCCCATAGCACACACCCCATAGCACACACCCCATAGCACATAGCCCATAGCACACACCCCATAGTACACACCCCATAGCACATAGCCTATACCCCATAGCACATAGCCCATAGCACACACCCCATAGCACATAGCCCATAGCACACACCCCATAGCCCCACACCCCATAGCACACACCCCATAGCCCCACACCCCATAGCACACACCCCATAGCACACACCCCATAGCACACACCCCATAGCACACACCCCATAGCCCCACACCCCATAGCACACACCCCCCACACCCCATAGCACACACCCCATAGCACACACCCCATAGCACACCCCATAGCACACACCCCATAGCACACACCCCATAGCACACACCCCATAGCCCCACACCCCATAGCACACACCCCATAGCCCCACACCCCATAGCACATAGCCCATACCCCATAGCCCCACACCCCATAGCCCCCCCATAGCACACACCCCATAGCACACACCCCATAGCACAAACCCCCAAACCCCACACCCCAAAGCACACAACCCCATAGCCCCACACCCCATAGCACACACCCCATACCCCCACACACACCCCATAGCACCCCATATCCCATCGCACCCACACCCCATAGCCACCACCCCACACCCCATAGCACACACCCCATAGCCCCACACCCCATAGCACATATCCCACCCCATAGCACACCCACCCCATACCCCATCGCACCCCCGCCCCACATCGCACCCTCAGCGCGGGGGCCATGTAGAGCAGGTCCTCCACCCCCCATACACCCCATATCCCATACACCCCATACACCCCACATCCCACCCCATATCCCATCGCACCCTCAGCGCGGGGGCCATGTAGAGCAGGTCCTCCACCCCCCATACACCCCATACCCCATACCCCCCATACACCCCATACACCCCATACACCCCATACACCCCATACACCCCATACACCCCACATCCCACCCTCAGCGCGGGGGCCATGTAGAGCAGGTCCTCCACCCCACACCCCCCATACACCCCACACCCCACATCCCACCCCATACACCCCACACCGCACCCTCAGCGCGGGGGCCATGTAGAGCAGGTCCTCCACCCCACACCCCATACACCCCATATCCCACCCCATACACCCCATATCACCCCACATCGCACCCTCAGCGCGGGGGCCATGTAGAGCAGGTCCTCCACCCCACACCCCATATCCCACCCCATACACCCCATACACCCCACATCCCACCCCATATCCCGCCCCACACCGCAC